TTTTTTTTTGCGAGGTGAAACGATAACGCGTTCCGATGACATCTTCAAGTTCTTCTTTTTCAAGAATTATATCTAAACGTCGAAATACCACGAAGAATGATGATTCTTGTTTTTATTCTACATATTTTTCGTTCAGTATTGAATGAATTTTATCTAACAAATTTTACGAAGTAACGCGACTTACAGAATGATGTTTATTTATTGCAAATTGTAAAACGCTGAAGGCCTGGACAGTGAACGTATCAATCTGCCAACTTGAGTGTCGCTTTGATCAGAAACTTGCGTAACCGAATCTAAACCTCTTAATTAACAGGTTAGGAAACGATGAAATTCAAAGAAACTCAAGCTACGAGCTATTCTGTATAGTCGCCCGGTAATTAATATAACTGGAATGACCCAAAGCAATTTTCATTCTTCGGAACGGAGATAACGCCGTTCAATACGTGGGAAAGAGAACTGGTCTGCCACGGGCATACCCTTTCATTCCATTCTTTTCCATTTCCGCGCCATGCTTTCGCATTTAGCGGCCTGTCTCGATTAATTTATTAATTACGCTGAAGAGGAAAGAAACGAGGGGAAAAAAAAAAAAACGATCAGGCGCACAGTCCCGTACAAGACAGATGCAAACATTCGACAACATGACACATTTACATACCGTTTATGTATAATATACAAAACGAGCAAAACGGGCAAGACGTGGCCAAGAGAGTTCAAGATGGACGCATACACATACAGGGATCGTGGAGAAAGACAGCAAGAGATCACGCGTGACGCGACTCTGAGCGAATCGATTCATTGGATATTCACAAATGGTAACACGGCCAAACACCGTCTCCGAGCAACTTACAATTCGAATTGACAGAGGTAAGTTGCCTCTCTGCGGCAAACACTCCGGTCGTTTTGAATTACCGTGAACCGCTTCAAGCTATTTGAAGTGTCGCGTAATTAACATCGCGATAAAAACGTATATCGAGACAAGCAATTTACTCGTGAAAGAAACACGGGCCGAAGTTTTACACCTGGAACAACCGTCCGGCTAAAAGGCACTCGAGCACGATAATTAAGTCCTCGGGTTTCCCATCGAACGCATTAGAAATACCGATGGTATATCGAATTCTTTCAGCCCCTACGAGAAAAAGGGAGCATTGAACTCCGAATGCAATTAAGAAGCAAGCAGGCACTTGATACTTAATAACTCGGGGAGATAAATTCCACTCTCGACCCAAATCCCCGGACAGCTACGAATGAGCCTCAATTAGCCGGGGTTCAGCGTGTAAAGTAGCAGCAGCAGCAGCAGCAGCAGCAGTGAACATTCGCGTTCATTGAAAACCTCCTGCCTCTCGCCATTTCCTCTACCCCCTTCCCACATATTCCCCGCCCCCGTACACAAACCACTTCAATATCTTTCGGTTCTGTGTTTCAAGTTTCGCTCGGAGTCGCGTGTGTACAAAAAGAAGGGTTGCATCGGGCAGAAAGGACAAAAGACGATCGATCAAGTAAGTAGACGGAATGCATGGCGTCTCCTATTTATATAAAAAAAGAAAAAAGATAAAATAAATAAAAACGGGCATAGAGCGGGGTTGCATGAAAATGCGGTATCATACTTGGAACGAACAGTTATAATCGATATGCATACATGTAATATATGTATGATATATATATATATATATACATAAAAGCGGATCATAAATCAATGCACAAGAGCTCGCGTAAACTAGACCGAGACCAATTCCACGTTTTTTTTTTTTTTTTTTTTTTTTTTTTTATACGCAGAAATTATTTATATTCTCTCCCGTGCCACGAGACGGCGTGTTTAGTCGTTGTTGTTTTAACTTTTTAACTTTTTCTTAACGTGCCAGCGGTGTCCTTACCCTGAAGATAGGATCTCCAGACAAGCTGTCGGGGCTAAATGTCTCCCAAGTTCCATTCTCTAGTAACGTATCGATCGAAAGGTCGAACTCCCGCGAGCGGTTCCTCGATTTCTGTCGAGAACGAGAGAAGGAAGCCTTTTAACTTTCGCATTATCTCCGCTAATTCGCTTTCATCCCTCTACTCCGCGTTTCTCTCCCCCCCCCTTCCTCATTTTTTTCCCCTCCCTCATCGTCGATCGAACGCAGGTTGTTGGCTCTGACCAGTTGATCTTTCTCGAACCACTAAACCGCTCGGGACTTATTATTAACGAGCATGCCGGTAAATATCCCCTCTGACGAAAATTACGGCCAACGACGCGAGCGAAATACGAGAGCTTTCATTCGATCAACTGTGTACTTTGTAAGAATCGATATCAACGTACGATGTACGCCACCACCGATACGTGGGACACACGTTCGCGCGGCCAAAGGGTGGAAACACACCATCGCCGTAATAAACGGCGATCGAGCGAAATTACGGAAACGTGCAACCGTAACTGGATATGTAACAGTGAAATCGAATCTGGCCTCGACGAAATTCAACGCTGGCCAAAGGGGAATTATATTAAAATATTCCCGCCACATTGTAAAAGCATTGTCACCGTTGACATCGGATTATCATCTGTCGATAACGTCAATTTATTATCTTATTTCCCTCCGGCGATTTTCGAATCTCGCAAATATTTAACAAGCCTCGAATACACGCGCGCGATAATGTAATTCCCGCCTGGCGATTAATAGAAATTTTCGGATTTCAAACAGTAATTCTATACAGCACGCGTGCAAACGAAACGAATCGCGATTGATTAGAGACTGATTAACGATTTAATTCCAATGGATATGCGCTACATTTAATGTAAGAATTCTATGTCGAAAATTCATATGTTCTGCGAAGTTTTGAATTCTTATAAAAGAGTTGCGGCTGCAAACGTGTGCATAATGAAAACTAATGTTGAATAATGCAGGACGTTTGTTGCAATTATGCTTAACGTTATTAAAACTTCAGGATTAGAACTTGAATCGCGCAACGATTTTGTAGCAGTTGTCTGCGAAACATTGTTGTTAAATTTCCGTAACTCGTGAACACGTTGAATGAAGTATAAACCATAAATTAATTACTCGCAAAGAATTCTATATGCGCAGATGAATTCGTTGTTCTAAACTCGAACTTACGATAATTTATAATACGTAATATATACTCCACAATGTTTCGAACACAATTTCCATCGATCTTAAATTGACTTAAATTTTATTATTCAATAAACATCGTACGAACATACCATAACTACGAAAATGAAACTGAAGACGTAAAACCGACGTAACGGTATTTAATACGGCAATAAATCAGCCGAGAATGGCATCTGGCTTGCCTGTTTCCAAACAAGTAATAACAAGACGCGTAGCCGGGGATAGCCGAGGCCAGGATCGATCGCAGATTCCCGAGGACCGAGCGGTGGACCAACGAGTCATCACAAAGGGAACTCGTTAACCGCGATTTCCGTTGTCGTGGGATCCCTGTCGTGGAAGTTGCCGACGCGTGAAACGCGCCACCACGTAGCCAGGGGTGTATCTTCTCGCCGTAAATCCGAAGAACGACAAGAGACTGCGGGAGAAGACTCGTCCGTGTGCTAAATCTCTCCAACCCTTTTACGCCGCGATAGTCGCCGGTGGGTTACTTTGATCACGCCGAGAACAAGAGGCGTCACCAGACAGAGAACACGTCCGATAACGTGTGATCGACCCTAATTTTTTTTCTTCTTCTTTCTCCTTTCCCGCGAGCTTCGCGTCGGACTTTCTTTCTCGAGAACGCTCGTGCTCGAGGTACGTCGTGCGACAAAACTGCGTACAAAATTAAGACAGACTCCAAGCAATCGCCAACAAACGTGGGTGAGGGTGGGGAAAACGACGTTCCGGTATCGATACAGTCGGGTCTGCTGGAAGATCTTTGGCTCTCGTTGCAGAAAAGCGTGAAGGTTCTGACACTAGTCTCGGACGGTTCGACTGGGTCGCGACCGAAGTCGAGGGCGAAGCTGGTCCGTTCGAAGCGAACGCTATTGATCTCGGGGAAAAATTGGAATTTCGGATCGATCGCCGTTGTTTAATTTTGATAGACTGCATAATTTAATTTTTTGGATTTCCATGTGTTGCCTTACGATTTATTTTTAAAGAAGCGTGCAACTCTGTGCGTGGAGTTATTACAAAATAGAACCAAAATATTTCAATTTTTGTAACATATTTAAAAAAAATATAGACACTTTTATTTGTGATAGAACAGATTTATAAAGTAATGATAATAATGAAAAAAAAAAGTCGAAAGCTATCCTTTTCAAGTGACAATAGAATTAAGAATAAGAAACATGTTCCTTGATAAAATGAAAATTATTATGAATAGAATTAACTAAGTATTTAAATTCCTTTTCAATTTTACTTATTTTTTTATAATAATTAACTAATATTCTCGAAGCGTGTGATAGTTCTCGAATTATTTAAACACAACAATTGTTTCATTGCTAGAAAACTTCAGTGAAACTGAGTAAGAAAGAATAACTGTTTTCTTCTAGAAAATTTTAAAGAGGGAAGAAGAAAGGAAGAATTTGTAAATACCATAATATTTTTTTTTACAAATTAAAAGAAATTTTGTGGGTCTGACACAGAAAATGTATACAGGCGAGACGTAATTGCCACTCAAGTTAAACTATTATATTTCTCTGAGAAACGCTATCTAAACTGAGTGAGATTTAATTTCGATGACCCAAGAATTAGAAACGGTGTTCTCTCGTTCGACAATCTGAATCCCAATAAATCACGACAGTTCGAATCGACAGACTTGTCACACCAATGAACTGCCAGGAACTTGGCTCGAGTTGAATTCCTGCTCACTTAGCGTTCACTTCCGGCCAGCTCGCAATCGACTCGAAGGAAGCACGCGAGTCAAAGTTGCAAGATCGGCTGAAAGAGCGACTTCTCGACTCATTGTCGTTTCTTTTTTTTTAACGATCGACTCTCGTGACTCCCTCTGGTCTGGGCAATATACGTACATTTGGAGACGAGTGGCAACTCCTGCGTCGCAGGACAGGGAATGATTCTCCACGAGCGAACGGATAATAATATATGTATATGTACAACAAGATACAGGGGATTACTTCTAATACAGGTGTAACAAAGAGACAGAGAGAAAAACGAAACGGGACGGCAGGTCTGTGGTTCTTCGGTTACATCGAGGGCTCGGAGAAAGTGGTGCGATGCCAGCTCCTAGTTCTCAACTAGAAGGTCGGATAGAATTACGAAGATCGATTCCGGGGTAGTTCCAAGGGTGGATATCATACCTGGAAGAGCGGCTTGTCGGTGGACGGGGAGGCTGGGATCTGAACGGTGTAGAACTTCTGCTCGAATTCTGGACCGTGGTCGTTTATGTCTGCCACCGCGATCACCACACGGGTCGTCGAGGACAGAGACGGCCTTCCATCGTCTCTGACCGTCACCTGAAACAGAAATTATAAAGTTTTAACCGTGAAGGTACGTAAACCGAAGATTTGAGTGGGGAAAATATCATAATTATCGAAACAGACATGCAGTGAATGAAAATGAAGCACTCGATGATAGACAGAGTTTGAACGTTTTATTCTAGACAGTGTGTGTCCGATAACGAGACGTCAAGAAAAGAGGAAACTGTTGCGCGCGAAATGGACCAAAAGTCAAGTATGTCTACATGACGGAGCGAAGTATTTATTTAACCCTTTGCGATGACAACTGGTTCGCGGACCATAACGAGTGACCGAACCGTACACAATAATTCGTCGCTTTCTTTTCGAACTTGTCGCTATGATATCACTGGACAGAAATTATTGAGAAGTAATAAACTCATCATTTGTTTTGCCTATTTTGTTTTACTTAAATACACTTAAAATTGAGAAAATATTACAACTTTGGAACGAAAAATTCTCAACGTGAGTGACACGTCATTCCAGCGCAAGAGGTTAAATAGCGTTTTTTTTTCTTTTTTTTTTACAAAAATTAGACGAATATTTGGTCTCTTGAGACGGAAGCGAAGCCAATTGCCAATTAATCTTCGATAGCGTACATCTATTACTCAGCCTTTACAAGTCAACCGTTGCCAATCAGTGTCCAGAAAGTTTGGCTAAACTAAATTCTACCAATCCCTAGGTACGAGCAAGTTATCCCACTGTGACGTGTATTTGCGTGTACTATATACAATTTAACGTCGGCGTATAATCTCGAACCGTCTCGACGTGTTTACTGTATAAATAAAACGATATAAATAAAATATAAATAAAACAAGACATTAATTATAAATGCGAATCAATCTTCCCAATTTTAATTTACCGTAAAATGAAAGACGAGAAACATCCGGTTCCAATCTAATATCCCGAAACATTTTCCGCCTTTAGAGGAGAAAGTTCCCCCTTGGTTACAGTCTACAAAAATTTTTCCTTTTCTTTTTTCCGACTTATCTCCGTCGTTATACCCTTATTTCGCGCACCCACTTCCGCAGCTTTCGTGGCACCGCGAAATCCCGGCTTTTCATTTGCGAGTATCACGTGCGACGATCTGCACAATCGGTTCCGTGCCACAATCGTAAATGTAAAAGGCCGACGAAATCTCGTTCAGAGAGCAAAAAAAAAAAAAAAAAAGGAGAAAAATTATTCGACAGGAAAAAGTCGACTGGAGATAAGGAGAGATAAGGACCTCCGCGAGTTTCCAATCTGCAAATTGACCTTACTTGTACGTGCTATCGATTAGACATTTTATATTTCACAAGTGAATTTTCAACAGAAACAGATCTTTCGTAGCTGTCGTTTCAATTTTTCGAATTTTTAACGAAGTAGGAACAACCGTGTTAATTTAATTTTATTCTTTATTGATATAAACTTGAATATGGAGAATTTTAATACAGTCGAAAATTTGTTTCTTCTTGTCTGCAGCACAACGAAATGAAATCTCGAACGATCGCTTCAAAGATTGAAGAATTAATACTAAGCAAGATTTCTTCGAAGTTTCATTGATGTTTTCTAACAAAAATCAAAGTTGTATAAGGTGTGAGGAAAAGTTCTCTCGTTTTTTTTAAATTTAAAATTACCTTTTTTTTCGTTCTTTATATAAAAATTAATCTGTTATGTAATTTGTTAGATATCTGCCAACGTTTTAGTGAAGAATGTCTCATCTTTTGACACGAAGAACTCGTCAATGGTCATCATTTGAACCTCCCCGAAATTGACTCAAAAATTTTGCCAGCGATTTTCACGGAGACGGAATCATTCCATCGTCGCGTTACTGAAAGGTGGTGCAAAAACGAGCCGAAAAAGTGAGAAGGCAACTGGGAATGCAGGACACAGGCAGGAAGATTACGAACCAGAAGATTATCAACAGGATGAAGGAGCAAAAGTTTTATTGAATTTAGCAAAATGACCAATCGGGGACTGGCACAGTCAGAGCAGCAACGATCCACGATACAATTCAATTACGTTCGTTTCCCCTTATGCTTATCCCGACGATGGTGAAAAATAACCGGTGTGTAATATATCGAGAGAACTCGATCGCTGGAGAGACTGTGTACCGGTCACTTGGTCCGATAAGTATGTATCGATTAGCCGATATCGGTTTATCAATTATTCTCGACGAGTATTAGTCGGGAACGACTAGCTCGCGATATCGAGACTCGAAGAAACTATTCGTTTATTGTTTACGCTTTGTCCATGGGTATCGATTGACGAATTTTTTCTCTCAGTTTTACGAGTTTGTTAATATTAATTTTGCTCGTTCTCCTCTCGTTCCGCTGTTTTCTTGGTTCTTCTTTCACTCGCTCCGTTTTATTCTCGGTTGTGACTGAGCGTACGTGTGTTTCGATTATGTCCGCGATCTGAAGCGACTTTTAGCGAAATTATTTACACGGCCAGACTTATTCCGCCGGCATAGCGGCCGATCGATATTTAATCACATCCGCCGGCCAGGAATGCACAAAGCCGACGATGCTCGGCGCTTGTAAGCTCGAATTCGAGACATCTAGAATCCTCGCGTTCCATTCGCGATCGCTCCGTGCCCTCCTTATTCGTCGTCCTCGCGTTCGATAACGCGAAAAATGACTTTCACAACTCAGACAAATTGCTGTATTATCTCGTTCGAAAAAAAGAAGAAGCTCATTGCGGTTCGTTTAATCTCTTGCGCTGGAATCACGTGCCACGCACGTCGAGAATTTTTTGTCCCAAAATTGTAATATTTCCACAGTTTTAAGTATATTTAAGTAAAACAAAATAGGCAAAACAAATAATAATAATAAATTTATCACTTCTGAGTAATTTCTATTCAGTGATATCATACCGAGTTCAAAAAGAAAGCGACGAATTATTGTATACGGTATTTGGTCACTCGTTATGGTCCGCAATCAGTTGCCAGCGCAAGTGGTTAAAGAAGCCTTAACCTCTTGCGCTGGAACGACGTGCCACGCAAATTGAGAATTTTTTGTCCCAAAATTGCAATATTTTCATCAGTTTTAAGTATATTTAAGTAAAACAAAATAGGCAAAACAAATAATAATAATAAATTTATCACTTCTCAGTAATTTTTATTCAGTGATATCATACCGACGAGTTCAAAAAGAAAGCGACGAATTATTGTATACAGTATTTGGTCACTCGTTATGGTCCGTAATCAGTTGCCAGCACAAGTTCTTAAAGAAGTCTTAACCTCTTGCGCTGGAACGACGTGCCACGCAAATTGAGAATTTTTTGTCCCAAAATTGCAATATTTCTTCAGTTAAGTATATTTAAGTAAAACAAAATAGGCAAAACAAATAATAAATTTATTACTTCTCAATAATTTCTATCCAGTGATATCATACCGACGAGTTCAAAAAGAAAGCGACGAATTATTGTATACGGTATTTGGTCGCTCGTTATGGTCCGCAATCAGTTGCCAGCGCAAGGTTGGTTAAGACGCACAGTGTCCTCTCTTTTCCTTGTGTTTCGAAATGGCGAGAGAACTACGCGTAAAATGGCTCCCAATCGTTAGATTTTGAAACGAAGGGAGAGATAAGAGCTCTGTAAGCGTAAATTGGTCAGAGGACTTCCTCTTTCGGGGAAGTCCTCACTTCAATTTGACGCCCGGAAGCCTCGCAAAAATCCCTTCCCGAAATAGCGATCGTGGAATTAGAACGTTTCCCTCGACGGGCGACGTAACAATTTTCATTAATTTAACTCGGGGAGACTGGGTCGTTTTGAGGAAGCGAGTAAACACAGCTCGGTCTGGGTATCGTCGACGCTCGCTCGGTTTCTTCGTAGTGAAGAAGTTATTGAGTCTTAATTGAAGCATGAAGTCTCTGGAAATATCTCTGCCGGCTGAATTATTCAGGAAGAAGCTGGCTTAATAGGCAAATAAAACGTCCACTCGAAAATTAGGATTTTATTGAGACGAATTTTTTAAAACAACTAATTCCCTTCTATGATTGCTGCTTGTGAAATTTTATTACGGATTAAATTTTATTCCGTGTACTTATATACAGTCGCAGTTCCGTCGAGTGTTCATTTTCGTCGATTATCCGCACGAAACGTCATTCATTGTCAGACGTCTCGGAATTCTTTTTCCAATTGTAAAATCGCATTAGACTATTCTAAATCAATCTCAGACTTACGAAATTTATATTATCATTCGCGAAAATTTCCAATGTCTCATACCGATTTATCGTTTCAATTTTATTAATGTTTGTCTCTGAAAAACAAATTGTCATCAAAAATCTTTTCCAACGATCAGAATAATTCTTGATCACGTCTGCTAATTGTCTGATCATTTTCCTGAACCACAAATCTATATCCGTAAATGATAATACTAGACTATTTGATATGATATTTTAGATCAATCTCACGTTCACGGAATTCGTACGATTACTTCATTCACCCGCGAAAGTTTTCAATGGTCCCTACAGGTTTCAGCTTTCATCGAAATGTAAACCGAGCACAAGCTTTCTGGAGCTTCGTGCAGCGTGCACAAACGACGAGGCGTTGTCGCGTTCGACGTAGAAATAATCAGATATGCGGGAACGCAATTTCCGTAGATGGACGGAAGATCAGGTCGGTCATTTCCGGCGTAAATCTGCCGTCCCGATGGACACTTCGCGAGAACCACGCGTCACATCCGTTCGGTAACATCTGCACTAAATTAGGACTAGGAAACTCCTGTTTTATCCAGCGAACGGCGAGCGGATGGGTTACAATGTTCACCTCGCCACGACACAGCGGATAGGAAGGCTTCGTGTACACCGGAAACTCTAACCAACGTGAAACGATGTTCCACAGACTATGGTAGCGCGGAGCTGCGTGCAGTGTAACATTCAGCGTGTATATTATACACCGTTCGTGTGCGTGACGAGGGTAGTTAAGTGTGAACTGGAACGAATTCTCCTCTCCAAATTTGAATGTATGATTTAAGTAGGCTTGTGATAGTGGTGTTAACTCGACACTATATGGCTATC